TCACAATAATTATGACAGACGATTAACCTGATTAGTTTGGTAGACTATAAACACAACACTCATGGTGATAGTTCATTTTCTTCCGAAAGTGGTCATTTTCGCAATTAAGTGCATTGTCCTACTGGTTGTTCTGTCTGTCAAAGACTTGATGATTTGCTTATATTTCTCTTAGAAGAATTAGCATCAAAATGTATCCTGGTGTCAAGTGAAAATCAGTACATATTCATGTCCTTGTGGTTATATTAGCTTAATGCATGCACTTATCATATTCATGGTGAATAACAGACAGCTATACACGATTCTGATAAAAAGAAAGATAAGTAGAGATCATCTTCAAAGCGAAATGAACCCAGGTTCAGTTCACCTTCTTGTAGAAGTGATTACTAAAGTTAGGCCAATATTCTATTAAATGGTATTATTAATGATAATAAAACAATTGGATTATTGTAAGAAAATGAAAACCGGAGTTGGTTGTCTGACTGTTTCAGTAATTTAACCGTTATAATCATATTTTATTGGCAGGAAATAAGGTTGTGACCTTCTACAATTATCTATGCCACGAGATTTAACGCCATTTTTTAATCTAACAATTGAACCAGCAGTAGAATATGTGTCAGAACAGGCTTTTTATGCAGATTAAACCAAACTCTTCTTAGTCTGTCATAAATAATACCATATGAGGTTTTAATATACTGATTGGAATTGTTTTAACAAGTTGAGAAACTCCATAGTTAGTAATAATAACTTATCAGGTTGTATGCAGAGTTTTTTTGCGAAGAGACCATTTAAGCAGTTTGTCACTCTGATGACAGAATGCCTGTGGTTTTTCAAGAGACAAGGAGCTCATTTAGCTTAGAAATGAAAAAAAATTTAGTGGCCTGTGTCTACTAGGTTTTAGATTAGGACACTTTGAAGTGAATAAAAAATTACGATAATATGTAGACAGTGAAGTGGAAAGATGTCAAAGACGTCGCATAATAATACTGAGAACACGTTCCAATGGTCAAGAGAAAGTCAATTAACAGATTACTGACTGATAAAAATTGTAAACTCATGGCAGATCATGGTGTACCAAAGATGGTATTGACGGATCAAAGTCCCTGTTTTGAGAGTGAGGGGTTCAAGACTTGTCTTGAGGCACTGGGCATTAAAAGAATTAGAGCGATGCCGTATCATCCTAACACAAACGGCTTAACAGAAAAGAATAATCGTACACTGAAAGAGGGGCTAGCTGCGAAGAGAGGCAACTGAAAAACTGTCCTACTGTTCGTACTACCGGCACGTCGTGCCACAACGCAGGGGACAATAAAAAATCGCTCTTCCAGCTGATGTATGGGAGGAAATCATGCTTACTGGTGCACCGTAAGACTTGGCCATAACAACAACATTGGAACAGTGAGAGATGGACAAGTGAGCTATTCAGAATATAAAAGTGAAGTGGAAGGCAGACATTGAGAAAGCCGGCAAGAAACAAATCAAGGCTTGGAAGTCGTTTGAAGTAGGTGACCAGCTGAAATATAGAGAACGAAAGTATACTACTGGAGGTGAACCAAGATCAGGAAGGCTTCTCACAAAGTGGGAAGGACCATATATTATCACATCGTGACGTGGTCCAGTGTACACAATAAGGAGAGGGTAGTAAACGCCAGTCCACTTTAAAGATGTATACAAGAATGTCAAGATGAGAAACCCGAAGAACAGTGGGATGTAACCCCTGTCTAGTCGTCGAGGTGGTTACAGAAAAGACTTTATAATGAGGGGCGAGTGTGGTGAGTGCTACTTATAACCAGATATAAGTAGTATATCACTTAACGAATTCAGAAAAATAGCAGTATGTGTTGGGCACTGGAAAAAGCAACGGAAGAAAGAGACTGTTTGGAGAACTGTATAGAAGCCAACTAGCTAGCAAATGTGGTGATATTCGATCAGTTTGCAAATGATGTGCAGATAAAGACTTGAAGATTAGGTATATCAAATTTATGTAGCGACAATGCATTCGAGTCTCATCGGGTTTTCTCCTATACTGGCTGTCAAATAAAAAACCTAACACTTTATTAGAGTTAAAATATTCAGCAATCCAATATCCACTATTATACACTTAAAAACCATTAAGACAGTGAAATACGACAAGCTTAAGGCGTTTTTAATATTCTTTCTGAAAATTGAGAATGACATCTTTTGTTTGTATAGATGATAGCGTACACATTTTAAGAACTTGAAATGATGTCTGTTGGTTTACATGCTTTTATCAATCAACCCTTGTATTTCACAGACGTTTTAGCCACTGTAAAATAAATTCAAAAGGTCAACTTTTCCTGGAAACTTAGTAGGAAAATAGGCGCAAATGACGTGAAGATAGCTTAAGTAGAATACCAGCTCGTATACTGAATACCACTATGGTGGGTAAACTTCACTGCAATAAGGGAGGAACAAAAGTTTAGGTAAAATTTATTTCTCAGTAATTATTACTATTTGTTATCAGCACCTTTTCTGGCAAAAAGTGGCATATGTCATTTCAGTAAGCGCTGGGTGAAAATCAAAAACATTCTGCTCTCTCTCTCTTTTATTTCATACAACAATTTCCAAATGTTCACCACTTTAAAAAGCTCAGGAGGTGTCTAAAACACTTTCTTTTGCTGCCGACTGAAATTTTAGTATCATCAGTTTGGAGAATTTACAGGTATCACTTTTGAAATCTGATGTTAGAAACACTATATGGGCATTGTCGTAACAGCATAAATAGTCCGTCGGTTGTAAGCGGTTCATGAAGCTCGGATGCGCTCACTAAGCTGACCTGGTGTCGCAGAAAACTACAATGACTGTGAAATCAACCTGACCTTCCTCCTTACTACTTTAGTTTGTAGAAGAAACACACACTATTAAGTAAGGCTGACATAGATTGAAAATTGAAAACGAAATCTTTAATTTCCTTTCAAACTCAAAATATCAGCAGAAAAAATTCCTCAAAATCTTGAGTGTTATGGTTATAAGATATAAACGTATTTGTTAAAAAGGGCTGTATAAATCGTAAATTGTTTTTTACTATTCATTGGTTAGCTTCAGACATCATTTCCACTCAAAACCGTTTATTTTAAACAAAACAGTACCACCTTATATGTATATATCATACAACTGGTCGCCATTTGTTACAGGATACTGGATATTTTTATTATTCTCTTTGGTTCCGAGTGAAACAAAGGGCTTCAACAACACATCTCCACTTTGTCCTTCCTGGTGCTGTCCTCCTCAGCTGACTTGAACACGATTGCCCATAATATCTCATCTCCTCGCACAATTCACACAATCTCCTACGTATCACCGTCGCAACGATGGTACACTCATCACTTCCCGTTGGGATTCCACTAAAGATATGGCCTGCATTGCGTGAGATTTCATTCGATGGCCCCCTCAACGAACCCGATCGATCCATCTCTATTTCTTTTACATATCTGTTACTCAATCCGCACCTGCTTGTTAGTCTGTTCCCAGCTAGAGTTTTTTGTTACTAAACCTTTCTGGCGTCGGTGATATAGCGCTTAGAACGCTCGCCGATCATGCACATGGTCCGGGGTTCGATCCCCGACCGACGCACTCCTTCACCTCACTAACCCAGAAATAATGCTGGTGAAGAGGAAAGGTTGGGCATGAGGCTAGCAACTCCATCCTGTAAGAATTAAACACTGCTACAGAAATTTCAAGCCACTAGCTTGAAGCCCTATGTTCCACTGGGAACGTGAAGGAAAAAAACCCTTTCTGGCCGGACGGTTGGCAGACTGGCCATTTCATCTTCAGTATACAGCCAGCCGGCGAACATAGTAACTGTTGATAAAATTCTCCAGTGGCTTCTTCGAAATTCTTTTCGTAACACGCAGTGCAAGTTTCTGACTCGTATAGAAGAACTGACTAACTGACTTCTCATTCGTGTTGAAAATCTCAATCAAGTTCTTGATGCTGGCTGACTGAGTGAAGCAAAAGATTTCCAAACTGGTTTCAGGTTGGTGAAGGTGTATCTCGCATTTCCGATTCTGGCTCAATGGCCAGCTGGCGGGCGGGCTGACTGGCTGACTTTGACATCTTCGTCTATTCCCATTGTCTGTGTTTGAAATAGTGCTTCCTAGTCGGATAAGTGAAGGAAATAACCTCTTTCAAATCTCTCCAGTTGATGGTGATTGGTGACGGTTGCTGTTGTTGTTGCTGCTGCTGTTACTGTTGCTGTTAGTGGTGGTTGGTTATTTTCATCACCTCCCAACTCTTCTCTATGTTCGCCTGGATGCAGTGCTGTCTTCGCTGGAAGCCAGCCTCTTGATCCAGTTTGTTGCCAGTTTTCGCCAGCTTCTACGTCTTCGAGTTTGTGTGACATTTTACATAAGTCATCCAGGCGCAAAATCCAGATCTTCTATGGTCTTCTGACTGGTCAGTGCAGCGAGTTCCTGTCTTCTCACTCACTCCTAACGCATAGTCTGACGCGTGATCCAGTCCACCACGAGTAAGAATATCATCGTCGGTGATAATAGGCGGCCTACCAACCAGCCAGTCAGCTTGTATTACTCCTGTATTCACTTCAAATGCCTCAGTGAGAGCAGACAAATCATGATCAGTTTTGTATGACAATTATTGTGGAATTTCATGATTTCCTTTTGAAATAATTTGTGATGAACGTTTTATGGAGTAATTGCTTACTGGACTGGCTAACTACATTTGGTATGTAGGACTATTTATCACAGAAAATATATATTCCTGTATATGTTGACGAGAGAAACAAAAGGATCCATTCTGGACTGGCGAGAAATATTCACTAGTCAGTTTGCAGTCCTTTTGTCAGCTTACTGACTTACTGCTCAGCAGTGAGACTACAGAACTGGAAAACAAAGTTTGAACATTGATTCGATGTCCATTTTGTTAATTTACACTAACATTTGTATAATTATTATTTAACATTTTTTATCTAATGACTTCTAAATTTTGTTTTATGCATGCAACTCTTTCTCTAAATATTTTAGACCAGCTCATGCGTTAAAAGTTCAGTGGTTTAAGCGAGGCTCGAATGGTAGACGTGAGCTCATTATCCCATCAGTTGTATCACAATCAAAACTAACCGGTGAACAGCGACAGACCTATGACGAACCAGTTTATAAATTTGATTCATCGGGTTTAAATCGGACTCTGATAATTAGCAATATACTACCAGGCATAATACCCTCGGATTATCATCACAAGTTAACTCAGAAAAGTGTATACTCTGAAGAATACACATGTCATGCTTATTTAAATGGATATAATAGTAATAATGTATTTGAAATGAACGACTTCTTGGTTGGAGATTCAGAATTCATTTCATCTCCATCCTCGTCATCATCGCTATTGTCTTCCGCATTCAGTTTATACAGAAGTGTTAGTCCCATTTCAACTACAGCACGACTGAAGTTATATCTTCCACCGAAAATTCATTTTCCACCGAATATCGATGTAAACAGTTCAACAATTCAATTAGAATTCATTCCTAGACCAAGTAAGCTGATAGTAATTGAAACCAGTGCCAGTATGGATATTCAACTACCGTGTGAATTAGATTGGATTGGTATACCAGCAGCTGAGGTTAAATGGTTAAGAAATGGTGATTCTATTAATTTCATCAACAAAGATCGGTAAGTTTCGTGCATTTTTGTTCAAATTTTCCGGTTCCACTTTTAATTTATCAAGAACAATTTACTTCGCATAGTGAAATTTCATTTGCTGAGTCATCAAAAAGCGATAGACTGTTGTGGATTTCTTGGAGGGGGAGGGCAGTTGTTTCAGTATACATTTAAGTTATACAGAGAGCCAGACAGTCTATCCTTCGAGTTCACGCGTCTACATAATTTTGTTGGATTCGAATCCTCCAGTCATAATTTTCATTTTCCCTTAAAACTGAGATGTGCTATAACTTTAAGTTTCACAATTTAATTCTAACCGTGCCATGAATAAGTTTCATTGGGAGTCACTAAGGTGTCAGGGATGTTAATCAGCCTAAACTGTTAGTGTGAAGAGTAATCTTCAACATGCTTTTCAGAAGAAATATCTTCTAAAGAAAGATAAAAGTGGTTATAAAATATCAATTTAATGACTGAGTGATGAAATTCTTCTATAGAAAATATCTCAGTTGCATTTACGAGCAATGAAATAATTAAAAGTTATCTTGTGACCACGACTATCTCTGTGAGCAGCCAGCTGATGTAAATCTACGACAAAACTATGAAATTAGCGCCGAGTATTTTGTCTAGTAGGACAATGAAAGCTTCAGAATTAAACCATCCAGATCAGAAAACACAACAACTTTGAAAGCACTTCCGTAGGTTAAAAACACTTTTCATTATAGCATACTCTCATTTTTATTTTTAGTCGCATGAAGGCGACTTGCGAAATACGGGACAGAGTTTCCTGGAGTTCTAGTGAGAAGTTGTGACCAACCAATAGTCAAGTGTGAGGATGGATTTCCCACTGATGACATTGGTTGGTGGTCGCGCTAATTCACGAATTGATAGAAGTTCGAATTCATGCGCTGGACATTGAATTGGGTCCCAGTGGCTGAGTGGTATACGAGCTTGCCCTGTAACTGGAAGGTCCTGGGCTCGAACCTCAGTAGGTGCGTACTGCTGATGATTCCCAAACTAGGCTGACGAAATAACTGTCCAGTACTCTCTGGTTTTCAATGGTTCTCTAACTGATATCAATCCGTGGTCAAACTCGTATAAACAAATCTAATCCTTACAAACAATTCTCTCGTAAATATATTTTTTTTTCTAAACTCATATGTGAAATTTCTGTTTATAGTAATTAAAGCTGTATGCATTTGCAGGCGTTAGTTTGTAGGGATTTAATTTGTTTCAGTTTTGATCTCGGACTGATGTCAGTTAGAGAACCATTGAAAATCAGAGATTACTGGACAGCTCTTTCGTCCTAGTTCGGGACTCTTCAGCACCCACGATTCCACCAGTGATTAAACCTAGGAACGTCAGGTTACGAGGCCAATTTCTGTGATTTTATCGCAACCACCAGCCCTTGTTACTGACGGGTATTTGTCTCCACATCCGGCTGCTCACTAGACTTCCGGGCAACTTTGTCCTGTAGTCAGTCAGTCAGATTGATTTCCAAGAGTTGGCTTGTGGGGATTTAATTTATTACACGTTCGCCTACGGACTGATTACAGTTATTTATTTATTCGACTCATCTTCACTGACCTAACTTCTTTTAGTTTTTACATACTGCATTCTCTCAAATTTGGGACTTTATAGTAGGGATTTGGACATCATAAATATTCATTCACTAATCAAAACCGGTCAGTGACCAAAATATACCTTGTTATTTCATTACAAAGTTGTAATATCCTGCCACTCATCGCTGTATAACATTACTATATCAGTGTTATACGGTTAGTGATATTCTGAACCTGTCTACTGATAAATAACATTTCATTCAAATGGAGACACTGTAACACATGACAATGATGTGTACTGTAATAAATTTAAAGTAGGGTATTAATATTTATGCGTTGAAGTTTCTGTAGCAATTTGGTTAAGTTTTGGGGGTGGAGTTGCTAGCAGCACGCCTAAACCCTCCCTCTCTATCCGGGCTTGGGTCCGGCTAGAAAACTAGCGAGCTAGTAATCTAGGCGAGCAGAAGACAGATGCAAGTGGAGACATGCAGCTGAAGCCCTGTGTTCCACTAGGAACTCAAGGGAACAATAATAATATATAATAATATAGGATATTAATAAGGCAATTGTAGATACTTGAAATGTTTCAACAAGTAGCAAATGACAGGCTAAAAATTTTTCTACACACTAAATAGATTGTCTTTACAGCATCGATTTTGGGTTATTTTCATTCCAATGAATTTCGAGTGAAGCTTGTAGCTTGAGCCTTGGAGTTTCACTACGGTTGTTATTTTCTTGCCCTTTCTACCGGATTTACAACAGGCTAAGCGAGGTTCAGGAGTTCGTCCACCGGGAATCGAACCCTAACCACCTGTGTGGTTGGCGAGCGTAGTAAAACTTAACCACCACCGCAGAGTTCAGTAGTGGCACAGTGGTTAGGACTCTCGCCGAATATGCACATGGTCCGGAGTTCGGACCCCTGCCGACGCACACCCGATATCTATGGTCGGCCTGCAAAATTTGGGTTACCGATTTTCATGCTAAAAATTCCACACCTGTACTGAAAATACGGTGTGGCATCAAGCTGTAATCAAAAAAGAAATATAGTACCATATTTCATACACCTAACAGGTTTGCAAGTAAACATTCCAGGGGTTCAGTTCTCTGTTACGCTTCATAAAGAAATACGCAACACTTGTGCACGTATTCAATGCTACTTTTTGAGTGCTCAACTGTGATGTGCTCGGGTGAGGAGAACATTTCAGCATCCAAGACAAGACAGTGACATGACGAATCCTCAGCTCAGAGGACAATTGACTATACGTATATCTGAATTTTGGGCTATAGGTCCACCATTTTATTTTTGAAGAAATTCCCGAATATAACAAATGTAATGCTGTGTGAAAAGTATACAGACACTCCAGAATACGAGCGGTATGTTTCTGCCCGCCTACTGTCACCTTCTACTCCACTCGTTAGTAATACGGCTATTGAGTTCATCCTAAGCACAGAAATCCTGCCATCTGTGCCTTAAAATCATGTTGAAAAATGTTTTGTTTTCTATTCTCTCTAACATACAAAAACAAGAATAGCAACACAGAGAGAGAAATAAAATAACAGAGTAAAAAACGAGAAAACAAAAAAAAAGAAACGCACAACAAGAACAGGAAAGACAACATGAACGCATTACTCATTTTACTTACTTACCTACTTATGTGCTTACTATATGAACAGATGTCTGACAGTTAGTTTTGATTGATATTAGGGAAGAGAATGCTTCATTAGAGAGAGAGTCTGTTGCTGCATGTATGTTTGAGTGTTTCAGTGTGTGTGTGCTTGCTTGTTTGTAGCCTGCATATTCACGTGTTTCCTGTCATTTAGCCAATACACACACACACTAACACACACAATTACTAACTAGCAAACTTAGAGTCGATGTTATTATTTACTTTTTTTTCACGTCTTCATCTGAATTTTTGGATTAACCGCTTTTATGCTGAAGAATTGATTATTCCTACTCAAAACAGTCATTGCAAGCTTTAAATGGATGATGCATCTATCTAGCTTCTCAGTGTTTTTTAAAAATTTTTCTATTCACAATACATGAGATAAGTACACTTCGCTAAGAGAATATGATTTGTACTAAAAATTTTCTACAATGATGCTCATTATTGAGCAGTTCACGAATAGAAACAACGCTAAATGTATTTCGTATGATAGCAGTTTTTATAAGCTGTATGAGGGTTAGGATAAATTCTATTTTGAGGTATTTTCGCGCATAGTGTAGCAAACGCTACAACAAATATTTCAGCCGTGTAGAAAAAAGTTCATATAACATCTATGAAACAGTCAAACGTAACATATGGTATGCTTACAGTGTTCAAAAAACAATCTTATTGTTCGCTAGAATCGAAGAGAAAAAGTGACACAGTGGGCTGTTGAAAGTCTTCGGGAAGCTAGTCAGCTGATGTCTCTTCTCTCGATGAAGGCAAGAATAAGAATGCAGACGTGCAATGTCACCACAGCGTTAAAGACCGGGAAGACTGCTCAGGTAGCCGAAGAAATGAGAAGACATGGTGTAGAAGTGCTCGGAATCTGCGAGAGCAGATGAGATGGATGTGAACTATCCGAATTGTCAACTGGAGAGTCAGTAGTCTACATCGGTCTGGTAGTTCAGACAACAACCACGATCACACTGAGGGAATGAGTGGCTATAATGATGTCACCAATGGCAGCCAAAGACATAATGAAGTGGGAATGAATCTCTCCTCCTAGGATACCTATTCAAGTATACTGTTGCGAAAGCGCGGCAAGTTTGTTATTTTATAACCTCACTTCCTTCCCCCCTCCACCTCACAGTTTGACTGTTTCATAAAGGCTGTTAAAATGACACAGTTATTAGCTAGATCGTAAATTCATTGCTCTCCACCTGATAGAGGACATCTTGTAGACATACTTACGAATAATAACAAGCAAGCTATTCAGAAGTTTCAGTTTGACATTTCAATTGATCAGAAATAAGCATTAGAAATTTCAAAAGACTGATTACTGAACAAAGAATATTCTTTTCGATAACTTCTTCATCAGGTTCTGCAGTCTTTTATCCATAATAATGAGAGAATCAGTGTTATTAACAACATTAATGTTTAAATAACATCGAGTCAATAATATCAACAGATTACAGTTCAGTAGCATCCGTAAGCGTGGTCATATGCATCAACATAACACCACACCGAGAGTGTCAGACAAATTAGGAAGATAACAACACAGAATTCATAGTCTTGACTCACTCGAAGAGGCTATGAAGTTACATAGATTGAGATGGTTAGGCCACGTGCTGCGCATGCCTAACCATCGTCTCCCCCGACGGGCATTACTAGCTGATATAGGTGCAGGTTGGAAAAGAGTAAGTGGTGGCCAAACAAAAACATGGCATCAGTCCATGAAATCCTTGACAGTTAAACTGAGTCAGGTAGGGAGATGCAGACTTCCGGGTTGGGGCCCTCGGGACTC